ATGGATCCTCCCAAATTCATTTTACGAAGCAAGCATAACCTTGATACCAAAACCAGACAGACATCTCTAAAAAGGAAAACTACAGACCAATATCCCTCTTCAACAAAATTCTAGCCAATAGACTCCGGCAACATATCAAAAAAACAATACGTTATGACCAAGTGGGGTTCATACCAGCTATGCAAAGATGGTTCAACGTTAGAAAAACAATCAACGTCATCCATCACGTAAAAAGGAAAATAACCACATGCTCATATCAATTGATGCAGAAAAGGCATTTAGTAAAATCCAATACCCATTCTTGATAAAAACTCAGCAAAATAGGAATAGAAGGAGAATTCCTCATAATAAAGGGCTTATATGCAAAACCAAGAGCCAACATTATTATCAGTGGGGAGAGACTGAACCCATTCTCCTTGTGAACAGGAACCAGACAAGGATGTTTTCTATCACCACTTCCATTCAGTGTTGTATTGGAAGTCCTAGCTAGGGCAATAAGGCAAGAAAGGGAAATCAAAGGCATCCAAATTCGTAAGGAAGAAGTAAAACTTCCCTGTTTGGTGATGATGTGATCCTATACGTAGAAAACCGAAGAGACTCAGCAAAAAAAAAAAAAAAAAACCTAATTGAGAGATTTAGCATAGTGGTAAGATACAAGATCAACATCCAAAAATTAGTTGGATTCCTCTACACCAGTAAAGAGATTGCTGAAAAGGAAATAAGGAAATCAATACCATTTATAATTTGTTGTTGTTGTTGTTGTGTGCCATCGAGTCAGCCCAACTCATAGCGACCCCTCCTTGGGTTTTCGAGGCAGTATCACTACGGAAGTAGGATTGCCCAACCATTTATAATAGCTACTAAAAAAATAAAATACTTGGGAATCAATCTCTCTAGGGACACAACAGACCTGTACAAGGAAAACTACAAATCACTACTCTTAGAAACCATAAGAGATCTACATAAATGGAAGAACATACCATGCTCATGGATTGAAAGATTAAACATTGTGGAAATGTCAATACTATCCAAAGCAATCTATACATTCAATGCAATCCCTATCCAGATCCCATCAATATTCTTTAAAGATACGGAAAAGCTAATCACTAATTTTATATGGAAAGGAAAGAGACCTTAAATAAGCAGAGCACTATTGAAGAAGAAGAATGAAGTAGGAGGTCTCAACTCCCGGATCTCAAAACCTACTATACAGCCACAGTAGTCGAAACAGCTTGGTGCTGGTAGAATGATAGACACATAGACCGGTGGAATAGAATTGAGAACCCAGAAATAGATCCATTGACCTAGGGTCAGCTGATTTTTCACAAAGGGCTGAAATTCATTAAACGAGGAAGAGTTGGTCTCTAACAAACAGTGCTGGCAAAACTGGATATCCATCTGCAGAAATATGAAATAAGAACCATACCTCACACCATAGACAAACACTATCTCCAGATAGATTGAAGACTTAAATGTGAAACCTAAAACTATAAAGTTCCTCAAGGAAAAACTAGGGGCAAATTTAGGGGCCCTAATTTATGTCATAAATAGACTGTCAAACATAATTCAAAATGCACAAACAGCAGAAGATAAACTAGATGAATACAACCTTCTAAAATTTAAATTTTTATGTGCTTCCAAAGACTTCTCCAAAAGAGTAAAAAGAGAACCTACAAAATGGGAAGAAATATTTGGCAATGATATATCTGACAAGGGACTTATCTCTAGATTTATAGAAACCTCCAACACCTCATTAACAAAAAGATAAACAATCCCATTCGAAAATAGGCAGAAGACATGAATAGACACTTCACCAAAGAGGATATTCAGGTGGCCAGCAAATACATGGAGAAATGCTCATGGTCATTAGCTCAGAAAGATGCAAATCAAAACAGCAATGAGATACCATCTCACCCCTGCAGTAATGGCAAAGTTCAACAAGACAGAAAATAACAAATGCTGATGAGGCTGTGGAGAGATTGAGACTCTCATACACTGCTGGTGGGACTGTCAAATGATACAACCACTGTGGAAAGCAGTATGGTGATTGCTTAAAAAGCTGGAATTAGAAATACCATTTGACCCAGCAATCCCATTAGTAGGTATATATCCTAAAGAAGTGAGAGCCAGGACAGGAACAGATATGTGCACACTCATGTTCATCACAGCACTATTTACAATAGCAAAAAATGGAAACAACCTAGGTGCCTGTTCAGGTTACCTAGTACCGCTCTGACAAGAATATACCACAAATGAGATGTCTTTAACAAACAGGAATTTATTCTTACAATTTGGAGGCTTTAAGGCCGAGTTCAGAGTGCCAGGCTCTAGGGGCTGGGTGAAAGCCCCTCAGCCTTGGTCTTCAGCTCTGCCTCCTGCTCCTGGCCCACTGGAGCTAGAGGCTTTTCTTCACTCAGACAGGTGCTGGCTGCTGAGGCTGCCAAGCCCAAAGTTGACAAGTAAAAAGGCACAGTCCTGATGTTACCGAACCACACGGCAGGCCATTAATTCAAGTCCATTGAAAATCCCACGGTTGGCAGAGCATGGCAGGCTGCTGAATAATGACATGGCTACATGCAGGGTTCAAGTATGCCATAAGCTAGAGACCGTTCCTTATATATAAAAGGCATATATATATATATATATAAATATATTCTCATTTAGATAGAGAATTTAAATGATATGACACAGGGTACCAATTGCCTATATACAGGAAGCAGACCACATCCCTAAGGCAGCTACTCAGCTGCTCACAGTAGATTCCACCATGGAGTTGATTACCAGTCTCATCATGGGGAATATTACATCTAGCTGCCCAGCCGCTTAACCAGGCCCAGGCAAGTTGACACACACACTTCGCTACCAGAGGGCCCATCAGTTGAAGAATGGATAACCAAACTATGTTACATACACACAATAGAATACTATACAACAGTAAAGAATACTGTAGAATCATCAGAACACCACATTAACGTCGATGAATTTGGAGGACATTATGATGGGTGAAATAAGTCAATCACAGAAGGACAACTATAGTATTAGTCCATTATTGTAAAAAATCAAGGAAAGGTTCATGTACAGAAGGAAACCTTCTTTGTTGGTTACCAGGGGTGAGGGGAGTGGCGGGGAGGGAACACTGGGGGAAAAAAAAATGACCCATGTGACTTTAGTTTTATCTCTTTCACTGTACATAAATTATATTTCAATAAATATTTTAAAAACAAATGAACAAACAAAAAACTCAACAACTGTTTGATTGGTCAGTAAAATTAGCCCTGTGGAAGGAGAATGGATTGCTGCTACAAGATTGTTTATTCTAATAGTATCTTCTTAATGTCACTGTTAACTAAAAATACTGATAACATTTTCAACAGTAGAAAGAATCTTGTATTATTAATAATTTGTATTATTCTTTGGGCAAGCCTCATTTAGATAGAGAATTTAAATGATATGACACAGGGTACCAATTGCCTATATGATTTTCCCAAGTTCCCACTATTCCACAGAAAGTTGTAATGGTTAATTTTGATGTGTCAGCTTGGTGAGGGTGTGGTATATAATTGTTTAGTCAAACAACATATTTGAGCTTTTGTTTTATATGTTACATATTTATTTAGCATTTTATGTGTTCATAGCATTTTAGCTGTAAAATTGTTCAGCTTCAACCTATATTTCTAAAAACAAAGTTGTGTCTTTTTATTTATTGATATTTGGTTTACTTTTCTATTAGAGTCTGAAAGTTTGAAATCCTATTTTTAATGTAACTAGTGGTTTTGATATTTTTCAAAATCATTAAAATTTTATTTATTTACTTGTCTTTAGCCAGATTAACATCAAAATAATCTTTTTTCTCTTTATGGTAGAATAGTGTTTATTTCCTCCATGTTCTGCATCCTAGTGATGATTAGTATAATAATCTGAAGTTATGTATTTCAGTTTTATGTTTTATTCAAGTTTCCTTCTTGTAGTGTGTTCTCCATTGTTTTAGAAAACCCACCACTTTAAGTGGGTTCTTGGTTTCAATTTATTAAATTTAATTTATTTCTCCATACTCTAGAATACTTATTTGAGTAATTTATTCAGAACAGATGTCTGGTTGATATATTTTCTGAATTCTAACATATGTAGGACTTTGTTTTGCCTTCACAAGTAAACAACAGTTTACTTGGATATAAAATTCTTGAGGCATTTAATTAGTTAGGTTGACACTAACCTGTTGCAATAAAGAGATCCAAAATTATAGCTCAAATAAGATAGAAATTTAATTCTCTGTAATGTAATAATCGGGAGCTCTGGTGGCGTAGTGCCTGAGGCATTTGTCTGCAAACCAGAAGGCTGGCGGTTCAAACTCACCAGCCACTCCTCGGAAGGAAGGTTGGGCAATCTACTTCTGTAGTGATAGTGCCTCGGAAACCCAAGGAGGGGTCCCTCTGGGTCGGGATCGACTTGACAGCAGTGAGTTTGTTTAATGTAATAATCTGTCATGTAACTGTGATTGATCTCATATTGATAGATGACTTGGTCTGCAAGGCGGTCCAGGCAGCAGGGCTAGTGGGATCACTTCTGTCATATCATTTGTCTTCCATGTCTGGATCCAAGGTGGATGCTGCACTTGTCATTGTTTCCAGCCAATGGGAAGGAGGAAAAAGGAAGTCCCTGGCAAGCAGATTTGCCTTTAAGATGATGACCTTTAAGTTGTGTACATCACTTTTTTTCATATTCTATTAGCACATATTTAGTGTCCTTTATTAGAGATGATGTAGATTGGACACCTAGTGATTTAAGAATGACAGCTCCAGAAAAGAAACTGGGGTCATTAGATAAGGAACAGGTAATTAGTTGCTAAATGATGGGTTTTACCTTCCTTCTTGCAGAAAGTATCTTTGGTTTATATGGGATTTTAGAACTAGTTTCAATATGCACTCACTTTAAAAGTGAGTTTGATTGCTGATGTAGAAACTAAGAAGTAAATGAGTTCCTTGTAAATACTGTTTTTGAAGGGCGAAATTTGGAAAATATATTTTCTGAGAAGTTAAAGGAAGACAGTGTTCCTGCTCCTCGCTCTGTTGGCAGTATTAAAATCAGCTTTACCCCTCGCGTCTTCCCAACAGCTCTCCGAGAATCACAAGTAGCAGAAGAAGAGGAGGTATATATACTTGATGTTAGTTGGCAGTGCTGCAAATAAAAATACCTTTTTCCTTCATCTGTTGAAACTAGTACTGGTTCTGAATTTCTTAAGTGTGCATTACACTGAAGATAATAACCAAAAAAAAAAAAAAAAAAAACCCTCACTGCCATCAAGTCAGATCTGACTCATAGCGACCCCTCCTTGGGTTTCTGAGGCAGTATCACTGTGGAAGTAGATTGCCCAACCGTCCTTCCAAGGAGTGGCTGGTGGGTTTGAACTGCCAGCCTTCTGGTTAGCAGTCAGGTGCCTTAGGCACTATGCCACCAGAGCTCCCAATACTTCATGAATATATTTTAGTGTTCCTTATGAGAAAATATATTTTGCAGATTTTATTTTGATCCGGAATGCTGATTTAATATATGGTTTTGTTGTTTAAGAAGTGAACTGTTGCACTGGCCACTTCTTTTATCAAAGAAATTATTTTTCATAATAGATTTGTAAACTTTGGATCAGTATTTTTTTGGTAAGAAGAGATTTAGAAATTTATTACTGATATTGGGTATTTCAAATGTTGTGACATTTTGGAATTAATACCTTTCGTGCATTTGGAATTTCTGGAGCCCTAGGATTTCGAATCTCTCATATAAATTGAAATATTGTATCTTTAATTATGTAAGCACTAAAGACTCAATTATTTTACTGCATTGTGTGAATTGATACCCCCTCTGAATTGGAAAGTTGAAGAAATAATTGAAGATCCTTAAGGCAGAATGACAGTTTATAAATATTAACCTTTTTCTTATTATTAGACAATATATTATTTCTGTATTTTATTTGTGAAATTATATAATTATAAAAATGATTTAAAAGCACTTTTATATTTTTCAATATAGAAAAATAAAAATATAAACAAAAAAATAATAGTTACATGGACTCCCAAAAACAACAAACAAACTCACTGCTATTGAGTCGGATCTGACTCATAGCAACCCCTCCTTGGGTTTCCGAGCTGGTATCACTATGAAGTAGATTGCCCAGTCTTCCTTCCGAGGAGTGGCTGGTGGGTTTGAACTGCCAGCCTTCTGGTTAGCAGTTAAATGCCTTAGGCACTATGCCGCCAGAGCTCCCACATGGACTCCCAGGAGGGATGAAATTTGGACTAGAAACTTACACATTTGATCTCAACCAGCTAGTGAGGTTAAAAAAAAAGTTTAAAACATAAAAAATGAACATTTAAAATCATTAAATACTATTTCCATCTTCTGGTGAATGATGGAAAATTTTAAAACTAATTGCTAATAAAAATAAAACCATTGTGTTCTTCATAAGATTTCATTCTTATTTCAGTGGCTACACAAACAAGCAGAGGCATATAGAGCAATGAATATGGATATTCCTGAACTTTGTGACTTAAAGGAAGAAGAAAAGAACCCAGAATGGTTGAAGGACAAAGGAAAGTAAGTTTGAACTCTGACTATGAGATTTTTAATACATTTATGTAGATACTAGTACTTAACACATTTTTTAGTTGTCTTGAAATGTGTATTAGGCCTCCTTGCTGCCTGAGAGAGTGAATTATGCATACTGAATGGCTATGCAGTCCTATTGAGCTGTTTACTTTTTTCTAGAAAATGTTGACAGATTGACTTGAAATAAATGGAGACAGTTCTGAGACTGGAGGAGAGAACGTAAAGACAAGTATGGATCTAGATACATTTCCTGCAAGGATAATTGATTTAGTGGGCACTGTTGAGGAAAGACCCAATATGGTTAGAAAGCATGAATTCATAGAGGTACCAGCTGTATAACTTATCTCCTGTAGTGTTTATTCATTTGTATTTAAAAGTATAAAGGCAAGTTAGAACATTGAGCCAGAGGTGTAGTTTTGATTACAAGTATAGCAAAAGTCTAGCAGTGCAAAAGACTAGCAATTGTTCGTAAAAAAAAAATAGCTCAGATAGGTATTCAGCCATGAAGTCCAGGCTGTGTTAGAAAGGAAGAAATGCCATGGAAGGGCCCAGTGGAATAGGGGAAAATGGAGTGATTAAGGAATTGGAAGCCACTGTGAAGTTGAAGACTGAGTATAAAGGAAAAACTAGCAGAATAGGAAGTTGTGGTCAGTGCTAGGATTCCAGAGTTTAATATTTCTGAGGTAGGAACTCTGGTGGTATAGTGCCTATGACATTTGACTGCTAACTAGAAGGCTGGGAGTTCAAATTCACCATCCACTCCTCGGAAGGAAGATTGGGCAATCTACTTCTGTAGTGATACTGCCTTGGAAACCCAAGGAGGGGTCATTATGAGTCGAGTCGGGACCGATTTGATGGCAGTGAGTTTGTTTTTTTTTTTTTTTTTTTGGTATAGTTCCAGGCAATGACAAAGTCTAGGATATGGCCTTGAGCGTGGGTAGCAAAATTCGAAGTTAAGGGAAGGTGAGATAAGAAGTTCCAGATGTTTCAAGGTTAGATTGATTAATGGGCCATATACACAAACTTTAAAATCTCCTGGAATTATAGCAGAAGTTGGGATGGAGACAAATGCTAGAAGCCAAGTTTCAAAGTTTTCAGTGAATAAAGGAGTGATTTGAGAGAGTGATTTAAAAAAAACAGTAGGTGTCAGTGACTAGAAGGCTAGAGTGTGGAATAGATGTCCTGAGTCCCAAAGGATGATGCCTTTTACATAAATAAAGAGTTAACATCTTGGAGTTAGTGAAAGTGAGCCAGGAGAATGCCAATCCCTGCAGTTCTGATGTGGAACTTGGAGTAGTGGGGGACTTCCGTTGGGGGGAGGGTGTGATACAGATAGCACTGCCCTCAGGGAAGAGCCAGGTGTATTTTGGAAAGCATTTTGTCAAAAATTGAAAGGATTGGGAGGCAGAACTAGGAGTGAGGAAATATGAAGAAGTAGAGGAGGATGAAGGTAGGAAAGGCTAGTAAACAGGGATATTGACATGGGAGAAAGGGGAAGCTTACTATGCCCAAGGATGACGTGGTTGATGAGCATGGTTAGAAAGTCCGTTTGCACATGTTGTGGTGGTGTTGGAATGTCTGAAGGTCCCAGGCAGTGCTTGGTCTGGTTTTATTTCTGATATACTAGTGATATGACTTGGTATAGAAGCAATGGTTAGCAGCATTCTGATGCACAAGTGTAATTTGGGACAGTCAGGTGTGATTGGTAGGTATATTGTAATTACTTTGGTCTCTGTTGTTTTTGTGCCTTTTTCCCTTATTACCTCCAATAAGGTAGGAAAACAAAGAAAAACAATATAAGAAGAAAGGAAGATAGTTGAGAAGTAGAAGGAGAGATGAAAACTTAGTAACTAATAACACCTAGAGAAACAGAGGCTGGTTTTGATTAATCATAGTGCCAAGTACAAACAGATTAAAGGAAAGGTAACACTTGTTAGAAAGCAATGTAATGCAGTAAAAAGGTAGAAACAGACTGTAAAAGCAATTGAGAAACAACATGTTAATTTTTAAAAAAAATCCATATACTACAACATTTGCCAATTTAGTATTTTTTATGTATACAATTTAGTGATACCAATTACATTAATCATGTTTTTCAATCTTCACCAATAATTGTTGCCAAATTTTCATTACCACAAACAGACATGCACTGTTTCTTAAACAATGACTCTCCCTTTCCCTCTCCCTCCTGCCCCTGGTAACCACTAATAATAGTTTGATATCTATCCCTTTGTTTATTCTAGTTATTTCATATAAATGAGATCATATATTATTTGTCCTTCTGTGATTGACTTATTTTGCTCAGGGTAATGTTTTCAGGGTTCATTCTTGTTGTATTGACATCATATTAAATGTAAAGCCAAAGGATAAAAATTTCTTCTCTCCAGAGGCTTTGTTTCATGGTAACCATCTTTTCCCAGGCAAAAACAGCCTACCTGTCCTTCTTGTGCTTAAACCTCTGGGACACTGTTTCACAAATGCGTAGATGGCAGGACTTTCAAAATAGCAATAGCTATTTAAACTGTTTAGGGGAGTCTATCTACTGGAAATTGGATTATGAGAAAAAGCCACAGAATGTTTTTTGCTTTTCTTCACTTAGCCTTTTACTGTTGTGTCTTAGCTTCAAATGTCAGATGCACCTTTCAGAAAAACATATAACTTAGGCAATTTTCTTGGCTATAAAAGCATTTTACCTTTTCTAATTAACATAGTACAGATAGGTTTTTTTTTTTACTGAAAACATCTCCTATAAACAGAGTCTAGGTGCTCTAATGTAGATATGTGCTTGGTATGATGTTACTTAAGGGCTTTACATGACTCAGAATCTGTAAATAACTTTAATGGATGCCTTTCCAGACACTTGTCATCATATAAGGTAGATGGACCAGTGCTCTGTCCCATTGACATTATTTTGTGCTTGATTTCTAGCATAAGTTTTGTTGGGCCATGTCTTGACCTTAGACTTAAAATCCCTTCTTCACCCACGATAGGACTTGAAACCCATCTGTATACCTTATTCTGTAGAGCAAATTCTAACACTAGACCACAACCAAAACCCACTACCATAGAGTTGATTCCAACTCATAGTGACCCTTTAGGACAGAATACAACTGCCCATAGGATTTCTAAGGCTGTAAAAAACAGACTGCCTCATGTTTCTCCATGGAGTGGCTAGTGGGTTTGAACTGCCAGTCTTTTGGTTAGCAGTCAAATGCTTTAACCACTATGCTACCAGAGCTCCTTTCTAACAGTAAATTAAGGGAATTAAGGATATATAACTCCACAATCTAGCATCAACATCATATTACTATTGTTACATAAAATTAAACATAACTTCAACACTAGTTCTAATGTCTGATTTTCTTCTTATTCTTTCTGCCAAAGTGCCAGGTTTTTGTAGCCTTCCTCATACTAGTCCTTCTAAGATCAAAGCTCTGCCTTGCTTTTGCTTTGCCTCTTGCCACCCATGTTAACCGGCTTCTGAACCCAAGCTCTGCATCTTGAGGCCTGTTCCTTGCTGATGTCTCTGGTACAAGCTTGTGCCAGTTTGAATTTCTGTATGTCTTCTGTTTATGTATTCTGTCTGCCTGTCCTTTTACTTTATATTAGACCTTTTGATGCTGATTGTTGACCGCCTGTCCCATTGTCTCCCGAGAGTATATGCTTCTACTTGCTAAATTGAATTTCTTTGTATTTCTTAAGTTTTCAGTCCATCTCTGCCAAGTATGTTAAGAATTAGCTTGACATGGTTTCATGTATGCTGGCAGAAGTCATGGAACTCATGGGTCCGAGACAAAGGACTTTATTACAGCACAGCAAGCATCATGAGCTTTATGTCCATGTTGATTCTTCTTTCCTCCTAAGTCCTACGGGGCATTGCGAAGGCAGGTTCGGGTGAAGTCTGTACAGTGGATTTGTGCTGCAACTGAGAAAAACTAAGCTTAAGAAACCCAGGGGGCTGTAAGGAAACCTACCCAACCTTTGCCCCAGAGGGAGACATACTTTTTATGATGCTGAGCAACAAACAAATATGCCCTTTGTCCTGGAAGAAGACACTATCTCTATCTTCCAAGGCTGTTTGCTATACAAACATCTTTGAAAAGATAGTCCAGAACAGAAGCTATCAGTGCCTCTGATAGAAGATATACAGAAACATAAGAGACTCATGGAAAACTGTCTCCCAATAGCCTCTTGTACCTGTCTACTTTCAGAATAGATGTGTCAAATCTACCTGCCCTGCTACATTTAGAAAAGACTGTTCATGGAAATGATGGCTTTTTTAAAAAACTTTTTATTGTGATTTTGGTGAAATTTTACAGAGCAGATTCATTTTCTATTCAACAGTTCTTAGACATTTTGTTTCCTGACACTGATTATAATCTGTACAGTGTAACAGCTCTCATGCTACTTTTTCCCTGTGGTTACCTTTTCCCTGTGTCTTTCTCTCCTGTGCATTCCTGCCTCCATAGCTTTCTTCCTGTGCAAATGTTGCCCTTCTGATCTCCCATAGTTGTTTGTTCTAAGAAGTGCATATCCCTGGTGTAATTGTTTAGTTCTTAGACCTGTCTATTGTTTAGTTTCAATTCCAGACCCAAAGGGTGACTAAGGGCCACAGTCCTGGGGGTTTTACCAGTCTCTGTCTGACTAATAATACTGTTTTTTTTTTTTTTTTTTAAGATTTTGAGTTTTGTTCCACATTTTTCTCCCGCTCTATCCAGGACCTCCAATTTTGAGCCTTTTCTTAGTGGTTGGCAGTGATAGTGATAAGGGCTTTTCTTATGCTGCCATCGTTTACCAGATTGAAAGTTTGGAATTCATATTATAAGATGACTTCTTTGATAAAATTTTAACTTTGTGCAGTTGCTTGTTTGTATGCTTTTTACCATATATAATATTTAGTTGGAGTATATATCTACTGTGGTCTAACTTGTCATTTTATTATAAGTTTTTATTATTATACAGTATTCTTTTTCTCCTTCCAACCTGAG